GCTTAGTGTATTCTTAGTCTTGCGTATTCTTAGTTTATTGAATAGTTCATGACTTGGATCTTACTAATGGTTTTCTTTACAATTTGTGTTTTTGTTGGATGTAACTGGGACCCTGTGTACATGGTTTTGTCCCACCTCATGTACCACATGTGGTGCGTATGACAAATAAATATCTCTGAATTTCTGAATCTGAATCTCTGAAAAGTTGGGTGGGTGGACAGGCTCTGATTGTTGTATGTGCCTACTTGCCGAACAGCACTTCAGAGTATCTGGCCTTCTTGGAGTCTTCGGCAGGGGTGCTGGAAGGTGCGCCAGCTGAGGACTCCTTTATTCTGCTGGGGGACTTGGAGATGGCATTCGACCGTGTCCTCGGGGTGCACTGTGTGGGGTGCTCCATGAGTATGGGATTGGGGGCTCGTTGCTATTGGCTGTTCGGTCCTTATACAAGTGGTGTGAGAATTTGGTTTGCATTGCCGGTAGTAAGTCGGACCCCTTCAGGGTCGGAGTTGGACTCCACCAGGGCTGCCATGGTCACCGATTCTGTTCATAACTTTTATGGACAGAATTTCTCAGTGCAGCCAGCTGGCGGAGGGATTCTGGTTCGGTGGCCTCAGGATTCCATCTCTGCTCTTTGCAGATGATGTGGTCCTGTTCCAACATTCACGCACCCACCCATTATAAAACATAAGATGGTGAGATATTATTGGTTGAGAGCTGGGTCACATGATAGAGTAGGGCTTCCCATTCGTTGATGGTGGCGAGTCCTCCTGGGAGATGTGGCCGAGCTCTGAAGAAAATGTGTTTTCAGTTTAGACTTGGCGCCATTGTTTGTGACCGATGGTGGAGTTACAATGGCCCAGGGCTGGTGATCTTTGTACTTTACATGTGGGTAAAATAAATCTTCTGAAATGGATGACGAGTGCTCCTCCTCTCCCTGCTTCAGATCAGAGCATAGTTTAACATGGTCCTGTTGGCATCATCGTACCGTGATCTTCAGTTCTCACTGGAGAGGTTCACAGCCAAGTGTGAATCAGCTGTGATAAGAATCAGCACCTCCAAATCTAGGTCATGTTCTTCAACTGGAAAAGGGTGGATTGCTCTCTTCAGGACGAGGGTGAGGTTCTGCCTCAAGTGGAGGAGTTCAAGTATCTCGGGGTTTTGTTCATGAGTGGAGGAAGAATGGAACATGAGATTGACAGATGGATTGGTGCAGCGTCTGCAGTATTGTGTACTCTGTACTGATCTGTTGTGGTGAAGAGAGAGCTGAGCTGTATGGCAAAGCTCTCTGTTTACCAGTCGGTCTACGTTCCTACCTTCTATGGTCATGAACTCTGGGTAGTGACCGAAAGAATGAGAGCGTAGATACAGGAGGTTGAAATGAGTTTCCTCTGTAGGGTAGCTGGACTCTCCCTTAGAGACAGGGTGAGAAGTTTGGTTATCCGGGAGATACTCAAAAAAAGAACCACTACTCCTCCACATCGAGAGGAGCCAGTTGAGGTGGTTCAGGCATCTGGTAAGGATGACCCCTGGGCACCTTCCTAGGTAGGTGCTACGGGCATGTCCGACTGGGAGTAGACCCCAGGAAAGACCCAGGACATGCTGGAGAGCCTATGTCTCTCGGCTGGCCTGGGAACACCTTGGGGTCCTCGCAGAAGAGGTGGCTGTGGAAAGAGATGTCTGGGCTTCCCTGCTCAAGCTGCTGCCCCCGCGACACGACTTCGGAAAAAGCGGAAGCTAAAGGATGGATGGAAAAAAATAATAGCTACTGTTAGAAGTTTGAGTCTACATGTATCACGTCTAATTATGTTGCTTTGCTGTGGTAGGATTTTTGTTGCCTCAAATCGTACCGTTTAGGACATGGTGTGAGATATTTTTTTATACCTTCTCTTCTCGTGTTTTCTTCCCTTTTCTTATCCAAGCAAAAATATTATTCTGGATAAGAGGGCCGCGCTGATTAGCAGCAGCTTTGTGCACTACGTCCATCTTTCGGACGACAGTACGTACATGTTCTGGTTGTATCTCGGCGCAATGACAATAAAGCTTATTCTGATTCTGAATCTTGCTGGAGGCCCGATCTGACCTACTCTGAATTATAACCTAGTTTGATCAGTCTCAGCTGCTCACAATAAGTGATCCCTGGGTCAACATCCGATAAGGAGTCATTTTTGTTTGCTTGCTTCCAATACTTAAATATATTTGCACATCACCCTATATCCACCATCAGAAACAGAACTGGCAACCTCCTCGCCAATGACATCACACATAGTCACCCCACTGATACACTCTGATAGGCTGTGCCCACCCTGGATGTGACAGCAGAGCCAAGGGCCAACATAAGTTGGGGCATTCTGTTGCACGGAGCGTCCGCTTCCAGGTTAAGACGGGTTGGACGGGACGCCTCAGCGCTGAGCTTGTAACATTTCCTGCCTTATCGACATTAAATGGTAAACACAATTTACTTCTCTTGATTTTATTGAGTTCGTGTGGGTTTCCTCTCCACCTGGGAACAAAAGAACCGGACAGCTGACGCCACTATAGTGTTGGATGGACCTCTGTAACAATGTAATTAGGACGTTTCTACTTGTATTAGTTGTCAGAATGGCTACTGGGAACTCATTTAATGTCCATTCAAGCATCACTATATCTTTGACTAAATTAAAACAATATATTTACAAAATGTTGCTAAAATATGGAACTTTATTTAAATCTGCATTCATAACATAATTCTAAAACATGAATCAGAATAAAACCTGCATGATCATGCACTAAAAATTTCAGATTCATACCAAAACAATGCTGACTTGGTTCATTTTACACTTGACATGTCTGATTATTACAGCATTACCTCACAACAGAAAACAGTCATTTAAAATGTGTAAACAGCTCTGCAACATGTGTGGAATAATAGATTTAAGAAACATTTTAAAATGCTGCACATTTTGGGAGAATCCACATTAAACAAATTGTTTAAAAACCAATGATTTCACAGCAGCAAATATTTAGTATTGCTCCCATGATGTAACAAATTCCACATCCCAGGATACTTAAAAAGTTCTGAATCACAACAAAATTATAAAAAATATTTCAGCCCAGAAATTTTAGAAACCTTTGTATTCTGTTATATCACTTCCTCAATTTTTATTTTTTTTACAGAAAAAAACAACAACATGCTGAATAAAACCTAGCTGAAACAAAAACACAAAAATGATCACCATTAAAAGAAGAACTCAACTTGCTCTTTACATTTCTTACAGTATCAGTGATTAGAATCATGGAAAAAGAAGGTCCACCTCCTGTAATTACAGTGTTTTTCAGGAATTTATTACCCGGCAAGAATCAGATCATTTTTATTAAGTCCTGAAATTAGAAGGCATAGAACTGAAAGAGGGTCGACTTTCTATTCTCACGACTGGATGTATTTACAGAAACAGTCCTTCACATCAGCTCTGTCTCTTTCTTTACAGTATCAATGTTTTTACAGCATGCAGAACTTGCAACAGTACTGAGAAGCCCGAATACAGCAGAGAAAAACACATTCATGTTGAAATGATCTAAAATTTCCAAAAGCTACTCAAGGTCAGTGAATATGTTGGCTTTAGCTTTGAATCATTTCTCATATTGTCTGTAGTTTTATCAGGCAGAAAATAAAACATGGGTTAGATGACAACAGTCAACACAAAGAGGAAACATATGGACAGTTATGAACATGTTTCCAGTCTGCTCCAATAAATAAACAGCAGCATTTTGATAAACTTGTTACAGCATTAACAGATTCCTCTGATGGAAAAGTAATTAAAGCTAAATGTAAAATATTAATTTGTTCTTCCTATTCTTGGAAAATCTTTCTAGCACGTCCTATAGGTTATAAAAATGAAACAACATCAAATTAATAATAATAAACTTGGCCAGTAATCTTCACCTTCGGACAATATGGTCCCACTTCTAAAAAATGTGACTTGTGTGGCTGACTAACAACTTCTTTGGCTGAGCTCTGAGGTCTTCCATTACATTCAGTCTGGTACCTTTTTGAAAAATCTTGTAGGCACACAAATAAATGGCACTGAAATAAAATCCATAAATCTTAAGCCAATATCTCACTGAGCTGCGACTGTTGGAGGCAGGTTGAATACCCTAGGTAGTGTCATGCACATGACTTACAAAACCATTCTAGGCACTGCACATGTTTTTTGTTGCCTATCTCTGACACATTGTAAACATTTGAACTATTATTATTTATCGTCATCATCACCATGATTTGTAGAGCTGGACATTTGGGGCTGTAGTCTCAGATGTTTTCTGCCTGCTCCCCTGCAGGTGTCAAAATACAGCAGTGGCACTCATAAAATTAAAAAGCTGGATTGACGAGGGTTCAAAATGTGTTAGAAACATTGCACAGAACAATTCTGCAACTACCGGTATTTTAATGAAATTTGTCGCACAAACTTTTAAAATAATTTTCAAAATAAAAAGGAAGAAAACTGAGTCTTTGTGACTTACGTGAGAAAACTGAGAACCCACACTAACGTTATGACATTTCAGAGACTAACTCACAAACGTCGCCCAAAAGTCACAGTTAACAACACACTCTCACATGATCTATGTTAGCATGTCCCTTACTGTCTGCTGTTTTATTGTCTCATTGATCTTTAACTTACTAATTTTATCATTGTTAGTTAATAAAGTATACAGTACAGTGTTTCCCCTAGATCAGTTCCCTTGGCGGGGCGCTCGTCATATTTTGTTGGGGGGTATGTCGTCATATTTGGATTGGTAGGGGGGTGGCATGTGACGGAGTCACAGGTGTGTTGCCTGCCCGCTAGCTTAGGTTACGGACAGGTTACGGATCCCCCATGATAAGAGGGACTACTGTACCGGTACAGTATCTATTCAAAGAAAGGCTGAGTCATCCAGGACATGGCATTCTAAATGGTTAGACGGGAAGCAACCGGATGACTTCGCTTGCTTAGAAACAAGATAAGGAATCCAGTTGCCTCCTTTTTAACCACTTAGGATAAGCTGCAAACATGCAAGCAGAATCTGCTGGGTGTGACAGAAAAAGACACCCATCTACTCTTCCTCTTCCTCATCATCATCCTCGTCATGGCAGTGGGTGATCTCCTGTGGGGTCTGAGGGAATAAATGAGGAGGTTGGATCTCACTGATGGATCGGGTTAGCAGGTGCCGTTTGCTCTCCATTTCTTTGAAATTATCATCATGTCGGTTGCGCGTGGCAAGAGGCGACTCAATGTCGATGACGTTGGCATGCGAGTGCTCCACTGTCGACTCATGAGGCATCTAGAAGACAAGAAATAATTTAGTAGAATGCAAAATATTTAGTGAGACACACACATCCAACAAAAACCTCTTTGAGCCTGAAGTATTCAAAGTTAAGAGTACGAAGAGTAAATGGTTTTTAACAATCTGGTATCAAAATCATTGAATCAAAGCTGACAGTTTTGATCTAGTATTGTTTTTTGCTTTTAATAACTGATGTCAAATGACAAACAGGAGTATACCTGAGTTCACACATTGATCCACCAATACAAAGTCCATAGCTTAATAGTGTAAGTGATATTTGGAAAGATTTTATAACAGGAATTTCATCTTACAAACACAGGACTACTGCAATAATAGTTTATAGAATGCAGTTGCGGTTAATAATAATAATAATAATAATATATATATATATATATATATATAT